AATTAATTGTGATTGATATATTAGAAATTAGTATGTTGTTTATTTGAGAAAATAAGATATACAATGTGATGAATGAATTCTCGAATGAATGGGATTAATGCCCTAGTGAATGGGCATGATAAGGAATTAATTTCCTGATTAATGGGATTAGAACCCTGGTGATTGGGAAAATTATTGAATTATTTACTAAATTAATGAGTTTAATATCCTGGTGAATAAGTGTGATGAGGAATTAAGTCCCTGGTTAATGGGATTAGTACCCTAGTAAATGGCTATATTGTTAAACTAATTCTTGATTTAATGGAATTAGTGCCTTGACAAATAGGCGAAATAAAGATTTAATTCTCTGGTTAACAGGATTTGTACCCTGATGAATGGATGAAACGTTAAACTAATTGTTGGGTTAATGACAATAGTGCCAATTGAATGGACTAGTAGAAAAATTAATCATATATTAGTGAAGATAATGTCGTGTTAATTGGGTGATAGGAATGATTATATTTTGTTGATGTTAAAAATAATAATAACGATAATAATAAAATCATAGATTATTCTAAAATTTAAATGATATGTAATAATAGATGAGCAAGTTAATTTAATGATTTTTTGACTAAATTTATAAAAAGAAAGGAGGAAAGAAAGAAAGTAGAAAGAAATTTTTATGGATATCTCTTTTTTTCATTTATCTAATTGAATTATTGTATTAAATCTATTTTCAGGTACATCCATGTATCAGACTGAACAATAGATTAGTTTCCTTATATTTTGTTAGATATCATATTGTAGTGAATAAATTTATCATTTTTTTATGTACTAGAATGCGTTTATAGTTTATTGAAAGCTCTTTTGTGTAATATAATTATGAATTTCATCTTTACTTATGAACTTATTTTGATTATAATTTCATTAATGGTCCTTATTTTTAAATCTTTAAATCGCATAATGTACTTCATTTATTGCATCCATGTAAATGTGAGATATTGAATTGTTTAACATGTAAGAATTTGATTATTGTGAAGTTGTGATGTAATGAAAGGAGGATGTCCTGGATGATAGGACGAGTAAGAGATTTGTTAATTGAGGATTGTGAAAGAAGAGTCGATAACTTGATACTTAAAAATATAGAGGAAACTTTGTTGAATTATTGATTGATTATAAAAAAAAAATATATCCCTAACCTTAATTAAATTATTATGTCCTTGCTCTTTATTTAAATACACATGTTAGGGTTGTTACATATCCTTTATGGCATGCCCAACTAGCATCTTTGCTTATTGGGTATGACCTTTTGGGCTATATTGATAGTTCAATTGTATGTCTATCATCAACACTTTCTTCATACACCTCCTCTGATGGCTCAACTTCTGTAAATGTTCATAATCCAGCCTTTTGGCTTTGGTTTAAGCAAGATAAGCTGATACTCCATGTCATCCTTCCATTTGTCTTTGAATCAGGTATGCTTCTTATTATTGCTTTATCTACTACTCATAATATATAGTCCAAGTTGCAATGCTTGTATATCAATCATTCATATACTTATATTATGAAACTTAAGGAGAATTTAACTCTCATTCAGAGAGAGTGTTGTTTGGTCTCAAAATATTTTTATGCCATCAAAGTTATTGTTAATGAACTTGTAGTGATTAACTCTTCCATCTCAGCAGATGACATAACTCTTTATTAATGGTTCTGGTTTTGACTTTCACAATATTGTAGCACTTATTTGAAATCGTGAGTTTTCTCTTACCTTTGAAGAGCTTTATGATATGCTAGTTTCTCACAAAAGCTATCTGAAATGTATTGAAGCTTCAAACTTTATCACTCTTGCTACTGCAAATAGTACCCAGCATTGTCCCATGAATTCCAAACTCAATTGTATCCAATACTTTAACAATGGTTTCTTTAGATAAAATTGCACCAACTATAATCATAATGGTTGCAGAGAATAGTCTAGTAAGCCTCAAATTATTTTTCAGTTATGTGATAGAGCATAACACTCCGTCAGGACTTGCCGTGTGGTTTTTAATAACAAGTTTGTGAATTGTGCAACCACTAGTAGGTCCGATGATAAAAAGTGGCTTATAGACTTAGGTACTTCTCACAACATTATCTTGCTAATTTATCTATTAACTCAAAGTATGATGGCATTAATCAAGTTGTCATTAAAGATTACTTGGGTTTCAAAGTCACATATGTTGACTCTATGACCCTTCCCTCTTCCTCAAAACCTTTTAAACTCACAGATATTCTTTATGTTCCTAATACTCACCATAATTTGATTTATGTTTATAACTTTGCTCATTCCAATAATGTTTCTATTGAGTTTCACCCATTTTATTTTCTTGTGAAGGATCGGAGTATAGAGGTGACTCTTCTTCACAATAAATATCAAGATGATATTTATCCAATATCATTGACCCTTTATGCTATCAAGTCTTTTGTTTTAGTACTTCTTAGTGAATGAACAATATCTGATATTTGATATAGGTGACTTGGGCATCGGTCAAATAAAATTATTCATTTGATTATTCATTGTTTTTGTTTTCCAATTTAGTGTCTTGTCCTTCCTTACCATTATTTTGTTTTACTTGTTAATGCAATAAAAGTCACAAATTACATTTTTCTTTTACTTCTCTTATTAGTTCTCATTCTCTTAAATACATCTATACATATCTTTAGGGGCTTTGTCTTCAACTTTAATTGATGGATTTTGTTTTTATGCTTTATCAAATATTGTTGGTTATTTTCAATTCATAGAAAATATAATGCTTAGTCCATCTTCTGTTAATTAAAAGGATTATTTAAAAAACAATTTGGTTTTCAAATCAAGCATTTATACTTTAATAATAGGGGGAATATTATGTTTTTCACAACTATCTTGCTTCTTATTCTATTAGTTGGCTAACCACATCTCCTCGTACACCTTAATAGAATGGTATTAATGAACGACACCATCATATTATTGAAACAAGACTAACTTTATTAAGTTTATGCTTTTCAAACAATGATTTATTTGATAAATTTTATCCCTACTTCTATTTTACAAAATAAAAGTCCTTTCAAGTGTCTATTTGGTCGCTTACCATATTATAAAAAAAAAAATATGTATTTTTTATTGTCAATGTTATCCATGGCTAAAACTTTATACCACCAATAAATTAGATTCAGAATTCATGCAAATTAGATTCAGAATTCATGCCTTGTTTGTTTCTTGGTTACTCAAACTCACATAATACTTAAAAATATATGGATTTAATTCATCTTATATTTTCTTCTCTTGACATGGTTTTTAATTAATGTAATTTTTTTCAACCTCTACCTATGTTACAATACCTTCTCTATCAATTTCAAATGTTAATACACAAGATCTTCATACACTGGCAATACCTAGTATTGGATTGATACCTTTTTTTACTATCACCATAATAAATAGTTTTTTTATCACTTTTTATTTATCTTTTTCTACATTAACACAACCTCAACCTATCTATCAACCTACCATACTTGAAGCTTCACAACAATCTATTTATACCCATACCATGACTACCAGGTTTATGAATAATATTTATAAACCCAAACAACTTTACCCAATCACAAAATATCATCTTTCTTAACCTATAGAGCCCACATGTGTGTCTTAGGCCTTAAAGGATCCTAAGTGGTGAAATGCCATGTCAGAAAAGTTTACTACTTTAGTTAAAAAAAAATAGCATATGAGAGTTTGTTCCACTCAGGCTTTACCATTAAACCTAGTTGATGCAAATGAATTTTTTAAATTAAATGAAACTTTAATATCAGTATTTCTTGCTACAAATCACAACTAGTTACAAAGAGGTTTCATCAACAACATGGTTTTTTTTTATTATAATGTGTTTAATGATAGTATTTGAATGACTAACGTGTTTAATAATCATATTATTTAAGGTCCTATTACTTAGATGTTAATGCCTTGTTGTATATTTGTACGCGCATGCTTGAATATTATATTTTCTAAAATGCTAATTAGGGTGAATATTATATTTTCTGAAATGCTAATTAAGGTTTTAAGTTGAAAGGTGATCTTGATAATATCCTTTTAATTCACTTTTTTATAATATAGTGAACTGATATCCTACCCTTCAAAACTTCTTTCTTTATGAAAAATATATCATGCAAATATTATCTTGGTGTTTGTTTTGTAAATATGTTTTTTCTAGAATGCTTGTTTAAATATTTTCATGTGTGCTAGGATACTTTATTTCATTTTATTGGGAATAGATTTCTCATTCAACTTAATCATGGTCTGCCAAGATCTTATGATCAGATTACAAAAATAGATAATATTTTCTAACCTACTTTTAAAGCTTCCCTTGAACGTGGCCTATTAAGAGATCACAACTGAAATCAATACATTTTGGGGGCTTATGATTGGGCATCCTGCGCAGAACTGAAAATTGTTTAAGACAAACATGACCAATTGTGAGATTTCTGACGCGCGACGATTTAGGGAAACCAGTAAAAGATATTGAGCGAAGATTTCCTATATAAAATCCAGAATAATATTATATTCAGAGAGCTACACTTAAGGGATGCACAATTGAAAAATTATGCACTGACAGAGATTGAAAATACTGTGCAAAGGAGTGGCAAAACCTTCGAACAGATTAGTGGAAATGCTTCGATGGTTTGCGGAAATGTTCAACAGGTTGGTTGGAGAAAGAGATGAATTATGGTCAAGATCAATTAAGGCGGGAATTGTCCAGCTTAACCAGCGTTGGAATGATGAACAAAAACAGATTTATTATGTGGTTATTTAATCTGTGAAAAAACAAAATTAAAAAAAAGGTAGATTGTTCTTGGTCCAAGGTCATGGTGGCACTGAAAGAACACATTCATGTAGGACAATTATTACCAAACTCCACTCAGATGGTAAAATTATGCATGCAGTGGCATTATCCTGTAAGGCTAAGAGTCAGAATTCAAGAGCAAGAGACAGATGACAATCTAACTGTATGCTAGTCTTTTTAGCTAAGAGATCTAAGCAATCTCAATCTCTTCTTTTTTTGTTCACTTGTCCAATCTCAATTTCAACATTTCAATTTTGCTTTTTTACAGTGTCTTACATTCGAAAGCAATCCCAGAGTTAAAAAGTTCTAACAAAAGCACAATATCTTTACAAAAAATGAATATATCTAATCTACAGCCGACAAATCAAAAACAACTAATCTTAGCATTCAAAGTGGTTGAATACATGGGATGAATTCAACCACCTTCACTTCGGTAGTCACAAGTAGCAGCACTGATCCAAAGTTTTAATGTTATAAGAGAAAATCAGGAATAGGTGGTGTTTGAGCAACCACATTTAATGGTGCATCAGTTCTTTGACGAGTTTTGTGTTTACCATTACGATTTCTACTCTTCTGTTTTTCTTTCTCCCCACCATCTTCGCTTCCATCCCCATCCTTCTTCCCTCGACTTTTTTTGCTTTTCTCTTTACCATGACCCCTGTGTTTACTTCTCCTTGAACTTGGATTTTCAGGATTGGGCTGTTCTCTAACAGCTAGATCTTCTTTTGAATCAGATAGATCAACGTTTAGTTTCTCCTTCCCTTTTTTCTTAATATATGACTTATCAGATGGATTACTCTGAGATGACGCAGGTTTAGCTTCATTACCTAATAAGAGTATATCACGAATGGCACCAGAAAGTAAATCATCTTTCACCTCTGGTTTCTTAGCGGTGGCATGTGCTGCATCTCCTTCATCCAACTTCACCACCACGGGCCTAGGCTTTGCATGGTTTGGCTTTCTATTTGAGACTAGTGACTGGTTTGTAAGCGTAACTAAATCTTGGGTGTCATTATTTGTATTAATGCCAGAACTTGGATAATTGGCAGGTGGGTAATCATTTGCTATAGTTATAGTTTCGTTCTTTTCTGAAGGGAGGTAATACAACTCATGCAGCTTCCGGTGTTCTGTAAGCAAGGAAGTGGCCTCGGTTGATGGTTCTGGATCTTCTTCATCTTGGAGGTTAGAGAATGAAATGCCAGCACTTTCTCCATAATATGGACTTCTAAGAGAAAATGAACAAGATGAAGGCAATTCTAAATTTCCACATATTGCTTCCAAGTCAGCAAGATTCTCCTTAAGCACTAGCTCATCTGGTATTAGTACTCTATCCTGGGCAGTTATTGAGACTGGACCAATCTCCTCTGAGAAAGCATCATGTACCCATTGAACAATTCTGGAAGCACTAACTTCTTCGGTCTCCAAATTTGCCTCCTTGCACAGCAAAGGAGTCAATATACCCCGTTTTACCAGCTCAATAAATCCAAGTGCATTCCGTGCTCTCTCCTGTATTTCAACATCATAGCTGCCTGATAATGGACACATAGCCAATTCCATCAAGTTTAACAGTTTAACAATAGATTCATGCGTGAAACTCTTTTCCTCCATTAATGCAGATGTAAACAACTGTCCATGCCCACCATTAACAACAGAAGGATCTTCATAAGATTGGTTTGAATTCCTTGGATTGAATCCTTCATCTTGGTCACATTCAACTGGAGCTTTAGCTGATGCTAAATCAGAACTTTCTGAGCATTCCCTTTTAGAAGCCAAATCTGAAACTTCTGATGTCATATCTTCCTTTTGCACAAGGTAAGAACATACACAAAAAATTAGGACTTTAAAAGCAGATTGCATGTAAACTGTTCTGATTGATGAAGGCAGGAGACCAGTACGAGGCTGTAACAATGCCTCCATAAGTTCAACTGGGTTCCTCGAGAATTCTACATATTCCCCACACACCCAAGCAGCAGCAGATAATATCCTGTGCAGAAAATGATTCCCAAGTAATGCTGGATCAATCAGTAACTGATGGCAAACATGAACAAGCTCTGGCCTAACATCCTTGACTCTCATACCTATATCAATTAGCTGATTCTCAATTTCTTCCCCCTTCTGGCAATGTGGAATCCTTGACATTTCCCCAAGAAGCGACACATACCAATCAAAGTCAATTATAATCTCATACACGTTCTGGCAACAAGTTGATAAAATTGAACCAAGAATCTCATTGCAGAACTCAGGGTCAGATTTGAGCGCATAATTAACCAAAACCCTGCAAATTTCCACGACATTGCTCTCTGAAACCATTGCCATAACCAGACACAAAGACTCAAGTTTAATATTCGGATCTTCATCACTCAAAGACTGAATCACAACATCCTTATTCTCCAAAACTGCCCACAAATGATTTGGCGCCATAATTGATAGCACATGCAGTCCAAGATACTTAAGATTCGGATCATCCTCCAATAAAAACTCACGAATTTTGACAGCTGCAAGCTTCACTGCAGATTCATACTCAGTGAAGCTAGTGACCACAGTCCTAATACACTCAAACACCATCGACTTCGCCCCAGTCTTTCTCATATGATCACAAATCGGCTCAACCACCCTTTTAGCCAACCTAGGCTCTAAAGGAGCCAAGTTTGCAAAAATCTTTAAGACCTTAATCAACACCCAGTTATTCCTCGAATCAACCAAAATCCTATAAAACTCAGGTGCCAATGGAAGATATGATCGGGGTTCTCTGGAAGCAAGCTCACAAAACACCCCAACAACTGCAGACACAATTTGCCAATCACTACTCTCTAAACTCTCAACAAGTCTCTTAAAACACACCCTAACTGCATCTGGGTATTTTTCAAAAAGCCTTAAAACAACACTTACAGCTTTCTTTCTAACAAAAACCTTAGAAGTGGACATCAAAGTGAAAACTTCAGAAGTAAGATCTCTACATAAATCAACAGTGCCAATTCTAGATAAGCAATCAAGAGCCAAACTCACCTCAAACTCATTGCCACTATTGAGATCCTTCCTTAATTGATTAGTGATCAGCAAAATAACAGGTGTGGATTCGTTGAAGGACTGAGAGATCGCAAGATAACCAATCTTTTTGTGTGCGAAAGTGGGAGATGAGATGCATTCAATGGCGTGAAAAGATGCCCATGACATGTCAATGGAGTGGATTGAATTGAGGTAAGTGAGTTTTTGAAGAGCAGTGGATTTGGTTTGCAAGTCAGTGGTTTTGATTTCTCTACGGATTTCTTCAATAACTTTGGATATGAAAGTGGATTCGGTACTTTGTTGGTGGCGAAGACCCTTGATTATGTCATCTAAACTGCGCTGGAAAAGGGTGTCCATTAGAGAGGGAGATGCCATTGAAGAATTAGAGATGGGGTTTGGTTTATGAATTGAATGAGAGAACGATTGGTTGAAGAGGAAGGATTTTTTTTTTTCCTTATTTATGTTTTTGTTTGGTGGTGTTTTAGGGGAAAGCGTCGAAGAACAAGGTTTGTTCCTTTTTTGGGAAGTGAAATTGCAGGTGGAAGACGGGTTGAGCTAGTTACATCTTAATTTTGGAAATTATATATTTAATCTTGATGTTTCTAAGTCCATTTAAAAAAAAAATCATGATTTTTATATTAGTTTTAATTTTATTTATTTATTTATTTTCTTATTTTTTCAATTAAATTTTTTTTATCATATTTAAATATTATTTTATTATTATTAATTATTTTATTTAAAATAATTTATGAAATTAAATTTATTTCAACCTCTTTCGACTTTTTTTTTCAGATTAAGTTTTCATTTTTATTATATTTATTTTTTTTAAATAATTTATAAAATTAGATTTTTTATTAATCTCATTATTTTTTAACTTTTTTTATTTATCATTTTTTATCTCTATACTTTAAAAACTTTTAAAAAAATAAATATCAATAAATTTTTTTCAAACTCATTTTCTTTAACATAAATAAATATTAAAAAATATATTTTAACTTTTTTTTACATTACCAAATATAAAAAAAAATAACCTATATTCTAGGAATTTAACTTTCAAAAAAAAACTACCATATAGCTAATAAGCAATATTGATTCGCAAATAAGTTATTTTTATTTCTCTATCGATTTCTTCAAAATTCTAAATATAAGATTTGATATTTGTTGATTGTGAAAACCTTTGATTATTATAAAATACACTAAAAGGCTTGAGATTTTTACTTAGACAGTAATATTCACTCTCTCACATTTTACTATGAATTTATTGATTAAAAATTTTTATTTTTTTATTTTGCCCCCAAACCTTCTTTTCTACAATTACATTATTTTGAGCTAAATTAAGGACAATTGAATCAAATTTATTGACTAAGAATAAAATTGTATTATAGAGACCAAAGTAGAAAAAGCACCTTAAATGAGTGATGGTTTCAATATTCTCCTAAAAAGTGCACTTTAATCTTCAAACTTCCCTTGTTATGCTTATTTGGTCTTTTAATATCTTTTCAATTTAATTTTGATATAAAAAATTATTTTTGTTATTATTAGTCCTTAATTTGAGAGATAAGAGAGAGAGATCGTCAAATTTTAACAACAAAAAAAAAATTGTTTATATCAATTTTAACCATAAAAATAATTGATTTTTTTGTTAAATAATTTTATTTGATAAAGAGAGTTAAACTTAAGTGTTTTTTTTACATTAAAAGTGCCTAAAAATACATATCTAAATTTAGAAAGATTTTTTATTTTGAATTCATTTTGATTTTTGGGATCACTTTTTGAGACCATAAATAGATTTATTATATTATCTATAGTGTTTTATAAGTTTTTTTTAATAAAAAAGAGGTTAAAAATGATTTTTTGGTTCAAAAACTTGTCACCTCAAATTTTCTAACCACTGTAGTGGTAAAAATCTAGGTAAAGTCAACAAATGATAATTAACTTTTAGTAATGAAAATTAGTTTTATTAAATTAGAGGCGTTGATGATAATTAACTCTTAGTAATTATGCATGTGAACATGTTTTCCTTTTTTTTTTTTTTTTTGGGAGATGGGCGGGATGCATAAAGGATAAAGTAACTTATAAATTAGTCCTTCCAGTTTAACAAAATAAATTAAATAATTATCTCTTAACTAGTTTTGACTATGCTTAATTGACTAAATAGTTTTTTCAAGAAATATCTTATTTCCTCATCGATCTTTCTATATTATATTTTTTATTTTCAAAAAAAATAATAAACTAAGAAATAATGAAATAGGTGAAAAGTGTCAAGTTACAAAAAAAATTGAGATACAAGAATTAATTAAGTATTTTTAAAACCAGAGAGGCTATTTGATTTAATTTACAATACTAGGACTAATTTATAATTTACTATAAACCATAACACTAACTAATTCTAATCTGCTCCGTACAATTCTCTGAAATTCATAGGCTTTTAAGTGGGCTTCTCTGTCCACCCATAGAGCGGCCATATGATTAGGATTAGAGATTTTTATAAAAGATTTTAAATTATCTTAAATTGATCTATTTGAAAATCAACTTGAGCATAAAGGGTTTTTGTTTTTTAATAAAGGGGTCTATTAGGTTTTGTGCTGTTCAATAAAAAAAGTTTTTCTTCATCAATTTCCTTTTAAAAAAATATCAGAGTGTATCTATGGCATAAGACTAATTTTCAAAGATAATTTTTTTTTTTCATATGATATAACTTGTATTATAAAATTGATATAAGTTAAAATGATCTCTTTATAGTTTCTAATATAGTAAAATAATATAAATACCTTTAAAAGTAAGAAACACTTAATTGTTTATAAAGGCTTTGATGTTATTTTATTTATTTCTTAATTGGAAATTGATCTCGGTATCTTTAAAAATAAAAATTATAAAGCTAGTTTTTAAGGCTTTTTCTTCCTTTTCAATTGGTTTTTATTGTTATTATATTGTTGGTCAAGAGTAATCTAATACTTTGATAAATATAAAATATTTTAAAAAAATTGATCGGTATGTGCCTCTAGCAAGTAACTCCCACACCTTTCAGATAGTGTGTGAGCTATCTTCAGTTTATTGAACATTGCCTTCAGCGATGATATTTAATTTGCCATAGTGTTTCCATCACAAAGAGTTGGTACATGTGAATGGAGGGGCTCCGATTTCACGCCAGAAGCCTCTTTTTCTTTGTTTTCTTTTTTTTTTCTCTTTCTTAATTTACAAGTCTTCAGAAGCCTCTTTTTCTTTGTTTTCTTTTCTTTTTTTTCTCTTTCTTAATTTACAAGTCTACCCTTTAATTTCTTAAATCAACCTTTCAATTGATCTTTCTTTATTATTTAGTTTCTCTTCTTTTAATTACTATTTGATATATTTTGAATGATTTATGAGATTAGAATGTTTTTTCTTTTTAATCTCACCACTTTAATTTTTTTCAATAGTCAAATTCGATCTTCATTCTTTTGATTGCTATTTTTTTTATTTAGAATGATTTTTAAAATTGATTTTGTTTTGCAATTTCATCATCTTTTTTTCAGAACAAATTTGATCCTCATTCTTTTGATTTTTTTATTTTTTGCTTTAGATTTTTTTTTAAATTAATATTTTTTATTTCATACTTTAGCATTAAAATTATTGAGAATGAACTTCTTAATAGAGTCTAGGTTAGGATTTCATTGCTGTAAATTTGAAATATTAACTCAGATTTAAGAGATTCACTTGAGTTTGCTTGGTTTTTATATTTTTTTAAGCCTCATGTTTTTTTTGTTTCATTCCTCAATATGTATTCGATTAAAGATTAAGATTCATCATCATCATCATCATAATCAATAATAATAATAATAATAATAATAATTTTCTTTTTATAGGATTTTCCACTAATTTTGACATTCAATTGGATTAACTTGGGGTTTTTTTATTTATTTATTTTTGTTAAATTTAGCTATTTCAAAATATTTTTTTAATTATATTAAATTAATTGCTTTAATAAAAACTTGAGATTTAGCTTCATAATAGCTTGTTTGGTTTATCGTCCAAGTCATTACTTTGATAACATATGTTGTATCTTTAAGTGTCGTCATAAAACCTTTTATAATGATCTTTTTTTCCCTCCCAAGTATGGTCTTGATGTCTTTTTTTTCAATCATATTATTAAATTAAAATCAATAACCTAGGTCTCAAATCTTTTTTTTTTTCTTCTTTAAAAATGCTAGAACCTTGACAACCTTTTTTCATGTTAGTTTAAAAATAACCTAACCCATGACATAGCAAGAACTATCAAATTAATTTCACTATTCATATTACTCTTTTTATCAAAAAAAAAAAACAAAAGAAAAGAAAAGAAGAGAGAATATTCAAATGCTTCCTTGTATGAACAATGAAGCATTTTAATTTTCTTTCTAATTTTTCAAACCTTTTTTCCTTTTTTTTAAATATATCTTTCAAATTAGTTTTTTTTTAATTTTATCTTTTAATAATTTATTAATTTTGAATTGGTCGTCCTTCGTGTTTATGTTTTTGTTCTATGATATTTTCGCACTCTAAAACAAACGTTTTGATTTGGTTGATATTTAATTTTTGCAAGCGTCTATATTTGTTATCATATTATTAAATAAAAAATAATTTTTTAAAAAAATCTTTTAAACCTAGTAGAGTCTTTTATCTCACTCACGTGTATCGCAACCATAAAGCTTAACGTAATCTAATATATCATCATCTTAATATAAAAAAAAATCATCTTGAATTAATTTTTAATTCAAACCATACTTTTACATATCGTTCAAGTTGCCTTTCAACATGCTAAGTCAATTGAGTCATGTAGAGTCAAATAACATGTAAGTTAATTTTAAACCTAGGCTAAGCAAGGAGTTGGGTAGGGAGGTTTCAAGTTTGAACTTTTAGGTCAGATTTAATAACTGTCGTGGGGGGAGGGGGGTGCACGACGACGAAGGCTCTTTGTTGTGCCTCCTGATGAGTGGTGTTGTGTGTTGGGAAGATTTTTTGATTTAATCATAAAATTATGATTAACGTTTAGGAGTTGTTACCTAGTATTATGGTCACTATGAACCTATGGTCTGCAAGAGTCTGAGTAAGGGATTGGTTGTGCAAGGGGAAGACGCATCACCCCTAGTGCACCCTACCTAAGGTAAGTTGCATTGTTGTTTGATTGTTTTTCTAGGTCGAGTTTCTATTCGTTGGTCTTTTCTAAGGTTCAAGACATATCTCCCTTTATAAAGGAGTCTCTACCGTATTGGGTTAAATCATAATCATTCTAAAATCTGAATTTTAGCATTGCATTTATTTACACCTTGTATCTTTAATACCCGAGGGTGTACTTTATCGTGTAATTTTACACCCTATGAATATTAAAGTCTATATTTAGACCCCTAAAAAAAGGTTGGAAAGAGATTTTTGACATGTTGGTCAAATCCTAAAGAATAATCATAAATTGATTATGATATCCATTTTTTATTTTTTTAGATGAAAAAGATGCATTTTTTTCTTATGAAAAATATCCTTGGAAAAATTTTAGGATTTGGCCGTATGCAACAAAATATTTTTTTTATTTTTGAAAATGCTTTGATTGATTTTTTT